TAAAGATTTTCTGTTATAACTTGAGCATATTCGCTTACATCGGTTTCGTCCATCTCGTAATCCGTATCTCCGAACAACGAGACGCTCCAGCAGAAAAGAGCGCTAATTGCTATTCCGGGATACTCATCAGCGATCATTTCGTTGAAGCTCTGGAAGAATACCGACAAAGTTTTCTCAATACATTCCAATTCGTCGCACCGTTTGAGCCTATACAACAGTTTGGACGCATCGCGCCGAATGTCCGCATTGTCGTCTACTAATAATTGCAACAGCATTGTCCACCAGTCCAATACGATTTCTGTAAAGAAATTTTTACATTATACTGTTACGCGAGTCTGATTTTGTTAAATGTAAAAATTCTCGATTCACACATACGGCAATGTTCGGCATCAATGTTCTTCTTAAAAAGTTCGTATAATATATCAAAAACTGATGATCTAAAATCTTTACATAACGAACCAATCCAACCATTGTCACAGACTTTTCTATACATGTATTTCATCTCTAGGTTTGTCATCCTATACTCCTCAACATGCTTAAAATAAACATGAAAATTTATTAGGAAAGCTTAGTCAACGACATATTCGATAATTTGACATATCAAGAAAGATATATGTCGAATACGGTAGGGACAAAAATAAAAGAGAGAACAAATCAAAAAAGTAAAACTTAAAAATAAGTAAATTAACGAACAAACCTTCACTTCATGACTTAATGCCGTCATACATTTCCCTAACAGTCGCAAGTAACTGACACGTTGTGCGTCGTAGATATTTCTTGCATCAAGTAAATAATGCATTTTTTTAACTAGATTACAAATTTCACGTTTGTTGAGGCGACATTCGTTTGCGTTCATCAGGCTATTGTATAAAAAATCGAAAATTGCATCTTGCAATCTAGGATGATATTTAAATAAATATAAATCTCTGGTGAAATCAGCAGCTACGCGAATAGCATAAGTGCTCAATAATTTTCTTTGCTCATAAGATCCCTTCTTTAATACTTCAAGAACAGTAGTCCAAGCAATGCTCTGTATCTCGGCTTCTGATACAATCAAAAGCTGCGAATATATATTGAACGCTTTACTTCGCCCATTGTGTACTGTTTGCAAGAAATTTGAATGTTTCTCCACGCAAAGTATGAATCTGATTATGGACACTTTGTACATTTGTTCGCCCGGTTCTTTTCTTAATAAACATTCTTCAACTAAGTGCTGCTGCAGGATATGCAATATATCCTCCATTACAAAACTTTCAATCCTAAAAACATGAAAAATGTGTCAGTATAAATGTATAAAGTCTGTCTCAAGTTTATGCAGTGAAGTGAGAGAAATCATCTTTCTTACATATTTTTATCTAAATTATATAATTCACGAAGGATGTCGATGTATACTCTAGCTATAGGAAAACAACTAAAGCTAATGGTTCTTCTTTCCAATCCTTTTAATATCCAATCTGTCATGCATAAAAAGTTTGTGACGTCAGATTGTAATAGCTTTGTGCGGATGGATGGCAATCTCATCAAGATCTCTAATATCTACAATTTAATCAAGAGTTAATATTCTAATCATATACATTTTTTAATATTGTTTTCAATTTGGAATATTTTAACATTTTTGTCTTATAACGAATTCCATTAGACGCACCAGTGCGCACTCAGTGCACATTAAAGTCGTTGTACACAAATCAACATAAAGTATATATACTTTGTGTGCACTGAATCCAACCGAATTTGCTATTATTTATATTTATATTTATATTCCATAACTGTCAAGTTTCGTGCTTGCCTGTAGCAAATAACCATGCGTGAGATTGGGCGGAATCCGAGTATCTCGTGCTATACATAAAGCTGTAAATAACTTTTTCAGAACGTTGTGGGCTGTATTCTCCGTTAGTAACGGCACGAGTGCTCTAGCTGCAAGTTCACGTGTTTCATGGACAGAGCTTCTAGCGCATTGCGACACCAAACTAACAAACTCATTTATCTGGAAATACACACCTGCCGTCATATCGTTTGTCTCTAACTGACAGAGAAAAAATTGGATTGTTCATAAATACCTTCCAAGCAACGTTCGTGCCGTCAAAATGATAACTGATATACAGTCGTGATAGCAGCAATAAAATTGCTTGTACGTTGGATTTTATCACGGTACCATTAATCGACACAAAAGTTTTTAATTCATTCAGAATAAAGGGCAATAGACTGGGATATCTTTCGAAAAATATTTTCCCTGTCATTTTGTTATCCGTTGTCAAATTGATGTGATCCTTGGTTCTTTGAACACCAAAAATTCGAATTATAAGTGCGCTAAACAATAACGCAGCCGCGTTACGTTCCTATAATCGGAAATAATATTCTGCATAAGCATAGTTCGCCTAATATTAATAGTTTTTATAAAAATAATGTAACATTACTTACCGCCCATGTTTTGCTTTCGTAATTTCTAAAGGCAACCATCAAACCATCCGCAATATAATTCTTAACCATGTCTCCGAGTTGAGAGTGTCTGAATAAAGCTCTAAGAATATTCATCGAATGAGTTTTTATCTCGGTCATATCAAGTTCAATTTCCCCATACTCGTTTTTATTTTCTATTATCAGTTCGCCTAAATGCTCGTACTTGGAAAATATAGTATCTCGATACATTATGTTCTTTATCTTTTGTTGTGGATTAATTGTGCTTTCAAGCTGTGAGAATTGTAATAAAATTTTCATAACCGAGTGAAACGCGGACACTTCTGAATCATTACAGATTTTTGGTTCCGAGGATAACACTGCCTATTTTGAAATAAATTTATTTTAGTATTATATCCTTAAGTTTCTTTTTTATAAAATAAGAGTATCTTTTTTATAAGATATCTATTATATAAGATTCTTTTTGCTCATACCTGTATCATGAACGGAACACCCGCACTTCTTCTTGTCGCACACAATTTCGTGTATTTTGGCATTAATCCTGTAATACCTACTAAAATATCGTGCAACCAATGTACAGGAAGCTCATTTAGGGCCGTATTTGTTAGTCGCCACAATCGTGTGCATAATTGATGAAAACCAACGTATGCTTGTTCAAACGCACCTCTATGTTTGGTTTCGCACAATAACGAGACTAAATGTTCCATTACATCCTTAATCTGTTAACACGTTAACATATTACCCCTTTATGTTTCAGCTATAAAAGCATGCGTAAATGCGCAAATCTCACTTGTTTCTCCGTTAGCAATCCATTTAGAGATTCAGCAGTTTGTATCGATGCCTTGGTGGCAAATAGACCAAACAACTGACTGACTTCTTTAACAGTACGCCAAGAACAAAGTAGCACCATTTGTGGCGTTACAATTTCCTTCTCGGGAAATGATGCGTCGTCTAGATTTAACATTTCCAAGTCCATTGGCAAGTGTCCTTCCGGTGAGGAATTATTTACTACCACAGAAACAGTATGATTTAACTCAAAGCACAATAATATAATATCAGCTACGGTGCTTTGCCATAATTTGCACGTTCCAGTATCTCTAAAACAAACATATAAATATATTTAAAACAAATCATTTTTTCAAAACATTTATACTCACATTTTTTTAATTACCTCAAGTCACAGTCTAAAAGCAAGCTTCTCATGCAGAATAAATATCCATATAAAGAATTTTTTACAATTGCCGTCCCTATGTTCTTTTTTGCTAAAGATAATGCTTCCTGAAAAAAATAAGGACAATATAGTCTGTATATTTTAAAATTATACTTTCGATAGCGTTAGAATAAATGTTATGTCTTATACGTACTCGCAATTTTCTGTATAGCAGTAATACTAATCGCAACGTTGTCGCTTCCGTAACATTGTCTTCTACATTGCAGTAATTGCAATGCAAATTTTTTATAAAAGGCGACAGCTTGGCTATTCTTAATATATATGCAGCCGTAACACTATCTATAGGTCGCATACTGCTACCCAATTGAAGTGCAACGTTAACAATTGACACAACCTGGAATTCTAAATCCAAGCTCAACAATACTGGTTTCATCGGCTTTATTATCTGATACGCTATTTCCTTATTCGATTCATATGTATCCAGAAATAAACATTGAAATATCGTCTCGGCTTGCTCCTTCTCCCAATCGATATGCGCGAATATACTTTCATTGCAAAGGAAATCTTGCATCAGTAAAAGTATCTGCAAGCAGGAACGTCTGCGAACGTACGTCGCGTCTGGATACAGATTGCCCACGCAAATTTCACGCAAATTTACGAAAAACGTGACGTAATCTTGCACATATTGCTCAATTCGCTCAGATGTTTGATAGGATAAAACCATAGCGTTTTCGTACATTTCGGAAGCGATATCCTGTTCCTCGTAGCGACTTCTCATCTTCAGTTCTTGAGACAACTGCCTCTGCATAACGGCCAGGCTGTCTTTCAACCGTCTTAAAGCCTATAGAGAACAATAAAATAAGATCTCACGATTCGATCTAACAATAAGTGAAATTTTGGCGAGGGCCAATATATCGATGTTTCTCGTTACCTTTTTGACAAAGGGTACATACTCCATCTTCTCACCCAAATTATACTTCAAAAATAACAGAATCATGTCAAGTTCCTCGCGTGTAAAGCGTAGCGTGCTTTTCTTCGATTCCACCAAAAGTGCCAGCATCTCCAGTCTGCACTGTACAACAAAGAAAAAAAACACACATGCAAGATCGCTCATTTATTGCCTGGCCAGAACATTTCTTGAATTTTTAAGGCAGATGCAATTTATAAAGTGAATCATTTCCAAGAGTTAATAAACCGTTACCTCCTCGCTGTAATGCTTGGCGCATGTTTCCAAAACACTGTACTCCACGGTATTTCGCCACTTGTCGGTCTGCTGCGCGAATTTCTCGTCGGTGTCCAGCTCACCCTTTCGCTTCGATACTCGCAGGCCGCTCAGTAGCGCGCGAAGCTCGTTCATATTTTTCTGCATTATTAAAGGCCAGCGATGTTGGTTGTGCAACACGTGCGACGAGCACGTTGGAGGTTGGAGAGCGTGTTTACGTTTACTCCGCGGACCACGACGCCACTTTACTCCCAACGCGTTTTAACGACACGCTTTTACCGATACCCGCTAATCTCTCCACCGGTAACCGTCGGCTGTCCGGTTGATGCGGACATCTGTCCGTTCAAACGTCAGAATTTTATAAGCTCGTTATACACCCTGTCACCGCCACGAGATAACATCGATCCCTCGGTGTATACAGGAAAATCGTACTTTTGGAAGCGCCATGCCCATTTATATTTAAATATGTAGACTGAAGAAATAATAAATAAGCTTCGATTATTTCCCCGCGCATTAACGCTTCAATCTATTTTTCAAACATTGCGTTTAAAAGCTATCGTAATTAAAACACACCGTTTTGTGTTTATTTTTAACTAAAATATATATTGAATTTTTTTAGACTTCTACATTACGTAATTACCGCAGCGGCGGAGGAAAGGGGACGTTATTATTGTTATTGGAAGAGATATGTGCATAAATTATCTTCGCGACCGGTTGTATCAATATTTTTCTACATTCTTATCTCGAGGGACAGTCATCGTCTAACCGCCACCGGTAATTTTATGTCCAATTTAGTAAGCGGTGTATAAAAGAAATAAGCCTTTATACTCAGCTATCTCTAATTGAATCTAATTCTATGGGGAGCGCGTAATGGATTTCTCGTTCTTTCGTAATGGGCCTTTTCTTATCCTCTCCTTTATAATTTGAATTTTTTAGCAATTTAGATCTAATTTTGATAACCATTTTACGAGTGATAAAAAATGGAAAAAAGTATAAATGTTTTTTTTTTAGTGTAAATAATTATTTTGTACATCTCGTCAGGATGATGTGTGTTTTTTGCCTCTAAAAGGGCTCATCTCGCGAATGTTATTCTAGCGTATACGCAGCCAGGTATAGTGTCGCTTTGATATCCCGCGGTATAATCTACACTTGCATTTGTTCTGTTGGCGAGGCTTATCTCCGGTGGCATATATTACATATATCTCCGCTTCGCGCCAAGACGAATGGCTATCACTAAATTTAGAAGGCACACGTTACAATCTTCCGTTGGCCTTCGCGTCGCACAATGTGTGTTACGTCCCGCCATCAATTTGACGCTAGATGCGCGAGAAAACCTTTGTCCTCGGTGACTTCTAAAACTCTACACGTGCATCAGTATTGCACTTTACGAGAGACAAAAGAAAATGTGAAAACAGGACTGACGTTTATCATTTCGTGAAAAATATATACAATTCGTGAGAAAATGCGGAAGAAATATTTCTGGTTTTATCTCGTCGAGCATCATGTTAATATTGTTGTATTAATTATATATTATCGTGATGCATCATTTAATAACAGCGATATTAATTAATACTGTCAGCCATCGAAAATGGAAGCTACTTTCAGATATTTTTAATATTTTGCAATTGACATATTTTACACAGTTTAAATTTAAAATGAAATAACTAGCTATATATTATTATAGTAATATTTATTTCATAAGAATATGATATTATAATATGTAACAAACATACTGTTCGCATATGTTATAATATAAATAATATATTATTTCTCTCGATGTATTTCATAATATATTAAGTAAAAGTAATATATTAAAAATAATTATTTATTTTAATATATTCTTTTATATGTTATTAGACAGCAAAAATTAAAAAAAATTTGTCAAACAGGTATCCTTGTCACTTCGTTAAAAATTCTTTTGAGTTGTTAAATAGTCATGTTCAAAATCTTGTGACAAAGCTCGTTTCACAAACTTAATTACAATAAATAGATTCTCCTGTTATTTAAAAAGTTCCAATATTTCGCTTCAATAAATCTTCGTTCATTACGAAACAATTTCGAAGAGTACTAGTCTTATGATGCTCCGGCATTATTAGGTCATCCACTACAATTGCAATTACCTTGGAATCGTTTCTCTTTTATCTTGAGATAAATTTGCACGTAGAGCGCGCTACGTCGGGAATAAAACAAAAATGGAGAGAAAGGTATTCCCCGAACAACGTAACGTCTAAAAGATTCCGTAAAATGGCATCGCGACTACTTTTTAAGACGTCTCATAAATCTTTAAGGCATCTTTGCGCAATCCGCGTGCTCCGCCCGTAATTCAGCACAAAATGGCAAGTTCTATGAAAATGTACTTTACCCCAAGGTCTCTGTCATTATTAATATTGATGCTATTTTTCACTTTTAATCACTCAGAGCGCGGAGTGATCATTAAAATTGGGTCGCGGAAAATCGACTTTCATAAAGGAGGGAGTGAGAGAACGTGAGAAATGCATTACGTGCCGCTCATAAAGCTAGATTCGATAAGAGATAGTTCAATTGCGCGAGCGAGACGCGATATAAATTTCAATATAAATCATATTGGAGAATGAGAATATCGTCCGCACGCTCGAATCCTGTGTCGTATTTCGGAAAAGGTCGAGATTAACATCGCAGCGACACGTATATACTTACAGCTTCTCGTTTGCTTGTTCCTAAATAGCGAGGTCAAGCACAGACAGCGGTGTAATATCTTCGTTAATGTACGAACCGCGGGAGGAGATGAATCTTTGGGAGTTACGTGAGAGCTGTTGTGTTTCGTTATTTTAATTGCGCGTCATCCTGGGAAGAATCCCAGAACATTTCCGACCATTCTTCGAGACCGAAGTTTCTCCCTCGCGTCAACCGAAAACGCGGCCACGTGATTTCCTGCGAGTCGCGTAATCTGCGTAATTAATCGTCATTTAAATTAGCGCGACCACCTTTTTTTATTTACCACGAATCCCAGCTCGAGATTTATTTACGCCGCTCGTTTCGCAATACCGGCAAATATAATCTTCTCCCGAGTTCGCTAATGGTTGAGCTAATAAGCACATTTTAAGGAAATAAATAAATACTTATTCTTCAGCGAAACTATTAAATAGAATCTACAAATATACACTGATTAGATATAATTGCAGTTCGAGTTTTGTACGGATTTAATCATTTAATTTCCTGAATTTATTCGTTAACTGAAAATAAAGTAAAAGTTAATAACTCTGTTGCTCTTAGCTACATTTCCTATGTTTTTATTCTCTTCTTTATTTCTGTAAAGTGTGGACAGATATTTATTTCATCTTCGTTAAGTGCACAAACTTAAGAGGTCTATTAAATCAAAGCGCTGGTAAAAGGAGCATAAAGAAAACAGAAGCAGAGTTGCAGACAGAAAAGAAATAAAAGAGTACAAAATATTATTTTATGTGCTTTTATACATTTATATTCTAAATTTGCATAAAGTTTAAATGTAAATTACAAATTTTGTCTGCAGGATTACATCATCCAAAATTTACATTTAAAAAAAGACAATAAAATAATAAGATTACCAGTAAATAAATGCTAGTTAATCAATAAAAACTTAATTTTTCACGCTAAACGAATGATTTAATTTATATTTTTAGAATAAACTGATAGCAAATATTATATATGTGACGGTTATACAAAATACATATATTGTATATCGTTTTATGTAAAATGAGAGAATTATATGACAAATGTATAATAACAATATAGTGATCATTTATCGAATGGTCGTACATTGATCTATCTACTTTAATATCTTTAACGTACATTACTTACAAGATTATTTGAAGATTTTTAAAATTTATTGATAAAATATAAATAGAATTACAATTTTCTAATACCGCACATAATTTTGACGTTAAACAGTCCGCATTACTGATATTATGCACACGGAAAACCTCAGGATCAGAAACCGCGAAACCGGGGGCGGCCTGTGGCGAGCAAGTTTATGGAATTTTCTTCCCATTTACACCGGCCTGCAACCCAGCGCGTTTTGCGACTCTCAATTAATTTCCGGCAAAACTATCCGGCACACTCACCGCGGGTAGTTGCGAGACGAGCGTTGCTCGCAGAGGGTATCTCTCGTGACCAAGCAGAATGTGAAACGACTTTAAAATTGAACTTGGAATCGGAAAATTATTTTGAATCGATCTGCTCACACAAGGGATCTTTGTTAGCGTGTATTTTTATACATTTATTTATGTATATCTATGTATGTTGTAACTAAAGATACGTGAGTTGGCGCGGTTCTTGTCATGATCATATATCAATCATTTACTTTTCATGTTGCGAGTCACTTCTCTTAAATCAATCTTGGATATTTTCTGGTCCGAAAGAATGCGCAACTTCTGTTCATTGTTTAGGGTTGTTTTGTATCGTGACGTCTTCTTTCTCCTCCGGCTGCCGCGTTGTTTCACGACTGGAGCGTGAACGCTCGAGGGATGTATTTGCTGTGTAGAAACATGGGGGTATAACACGGGCCGTGACATGCACAATATGTCTTTACCGGTCAATTCCGCGCCTCGTTTCACCGCAGGACGTCTGTCCCGTAGCGAGAAAGCTCGAGAATCACTTGAGCGGAACGTGTCTCGCGGAGAATCGTCTGACGCTGGTAAATAACCGAGCTAACTGCTAATTCGATTTACTAGCCAACCCCTCCTACGGGGCTGCCGGTCCCCCCGTTCCTCTGTCAGATCCAATTAGCGAGAAGTTTACGGGGCTTCGCAGGAGCAATCGACTGGTCTCTACAATTAAATTTCACACGCCGCTATGTCAATCATCGTTTCACCGGATTCGCTTCAGGAAATAGGAAGACGGTTCTTCCGACCCCCCGGGAAGGAACAACGTAAATCCCGAGACGGCACTAACATCTGTGAGACGTCGTAAGGACATCGTAAGGATGTCCTAATGTCTCTCGAAGGCGCTTCAGACCTTTTCTAATGGAACGCTAGAATCTTTCTGTTGAGTCTGTTGTGAATATTTAGAAATGGGAATTTTGTAAAGATTTAGGTAGAGAAAGAATGTGTCGCCGTACTACTACTTATTTCTCTTACAGCTAAGAGCGATTTTCTATATAAATTTTGCGATACCGCTTGTAAATTTCCGCACGAAAATGTTATCTAGCGACGATTGTATGGGTCGTGTCGAAGTGGATCAATAGCAAAG